CGGCAAACGTGGTGAACAATGTTGAAATTGTAGACCACAAGGAGGACATAACCAAAGTCTACAATGTTTTGTGCCTCATTACTGGACTCTTGATCTTTATGTTGATTCTGAGCTTCCTCCGGATCTACAAGCGATCTGTACAGAGACGTCGGGACCACGGACACGAGCTGGAGAAAATCATGGCTGTCGCCGCCAATTGGCCAGAAAGGAGCCAGCACTAATATATCAGCCCGTGCAAAGATAAAAAACCACATCATTATTATTATTATTTCAATTTTCGACAAAACAATAAACAATACCCATTCATAATAAACCAGCAATTAAATACAAGCAAAAGACCAAAGTTTTGATTTGTAATTGGAATCAACAGAAGAAACCTCAGCTAGAAGTGCTACCGTCAACCGTCGCGAGTGCCGTTTTCACTCTTCTCTTACTCGCAATTCGTAGCGCCGTAAAGCGAATAACTTTTTTTTCTCTGTTTGTGAAATGAGACCAACATCGCGCAATTGCCCAAGAAATGACAATTAACATAATTTTTTTTATATAAATTAATCCAACACCTTATTAATAATGCTAAGAGAATTTGCACTAATATAAATATATTTATGCATATGTGTATAATTAATTTTCCTAGCCCAGAATACCACAATGAGAGCTCTCGTCGATGGAAATAAAACGGGGTAAGTGAGTTGTGTTCGACTTACTGTCAAGCAAACTTTTTATATATATATATTTACACATATGCGTATATACCTAGATCTTTGTGCAATTTAAACATTTAGATATACATATATATAGTCTTCATACATTAGATTTAACGTCCATTTTTAATTTTTATTTTTTTTTTTTAAAACTAAACCCTAATTTTTTATTTTTATATTTTTTTTTTTTTTTTTTTTTTTTTTTTTTTTTTTAAATTAATTATTATATTTATTTTATTTATATTTTTTTTTTTTTTTTTTTTTTAATTTTTTCCCCCCCTTTTTTTTTTTTTTTATATTATTTTTGCACCTTTTTAATTTAAATATTTTTTTTTATTTTAAATTAAAACCCAAAACTTTTTATTTTTGCTTACATAAAAAGAGGGGGCGGGGCCAAAGCAAAAAAATAGGGTTAAAAAAAAAAAAAAAAAAATTTTTCACTTAAAAAAATTAAAAAAGGGGGGCGCTTTGCAGGGGCCGGCGGCGATCCATCGGCATACGGGGCGTGAGGAGGGGGGGGAAAAAACCCCCACACCCTCCGTTTAAAATTGCTCAAAAGCCCTAAAACTTATCTCTTAGGAGCCCGGGGGCAGCGACGACAAATGACAAAACGAACTGAACGATCTCTATATTTTTCCTAAGGCACGATAAATTTATTCTCGTTTTTAGGGGGGGGGGGGTTTTCTAAAAAACCCCCCCATCTGGCGAGCTTAGCCGGCAACCAGCGTGCCCTACTCAGGACGCAACTCCCTCGTCATGATTAGCGAGTACACGCTGGAAGTTATTCTGTATGTTGTTCAAGATAGTTATATTAATTATAGTATAATATTTGGCCGCAAAATTCTAAGTCAGGGCTTTGGCGCATCAATAACGATCGATAAATTTAAACTATTTAAAACTGTATCTATAAATACCTGTTCTGCTTTGATTAATAGTTTTAATTTTTCAAATATCAATACTGGTTTGGATGGTGTAAATAAGTCAAGCTTGTTGTGCATTTTGAATGAATTCTCGGACGCATTTATAGATGGATCCCCCAAAAGTCGAGTGACAACCACAGAGTTTCATATTCGATTAATAAATCCAAATAAGACCGTCCAAAGGCGGCCATACAAACTCAGTATCGAGGAAAAGGAAGTAGTGAGAAAAAGAATAAATGAATTACTACAAGCTAATATCATCCGTCCTAGCTCTTTTCCATTTGCTAGTCCGATGCTTCTGGTAAAAAAGAAAGACGGATCTAACCGACTCTGTGTAGACTACCGCGAGTTAAATTCGAACACGGTGGCAGAAAAGTTTCTCTTGCCTCTTATTAATGATCAGATCGCTAGATTAGGCGGGGTAAAGTATTTTACGTGTTTGGATATGGCAAGCGGCTATCACCAGATTCCGATTCATCCAAACTCAGTTGAACGTACAGCATTCGTTACACCAGAGGGTCAATTTGAGTTCTTAACAATGCCTTTCGGACTTAAGAATGCAGCACCTGTGTTTCAAAGGGCGGAAATTAAGGCGTTAAGTGAGCTGGCATATTCATATGTCATAGTTTATATGGATGATATCTTAATAACCTCTAGTACAGAAGAAGAAGCATTTGAAAGATTAAGAACAGTTCTAAGCCTATTATCTCAAGCTGGTTTTTCATTTAACATCGCGAAATGTTCCTTTTTAAAAACAAGCGTGGATTATTTAGGTTTTCAAATCAAAGATGGCGAAGATAGACCCAATCCACGAAAGGTACATGCTTTGATCAATCTACCCCCTCCGCAGTCTATTACACAAGTAAGGCAGTTTATCGGTATGGCGTCCTACTTTCGACAGTTCGTTCCAAAATTTTCTGAAATAATGAAGCCATTGTACGCCGTTACCTGTAAAAATAAAGTATTCGAGTGGAAAAGCGACCATGAGGAAGTGCGAAAAAAAATTATCAAAATTTTAACTGATAAGCCGGTGCTTTTAATTTTTGACCCCCAATATCCCCTCGAACTGCACACTGACGCAAGCATGGATGGCTACGGTGCAATACTACTTCATAAAGTCGACAATAAACATACGGTCATTAAATATTTCAGTAAACAAACATCCGCAACTGAATCACGTTACCACTCTTACGAGTTAGAAACACTAGCCGTGTTTAACGCTATGAAACATTTCCGACACTATTTACACGACCGGCATTTTGTTGTATTTACGGATTGTAATAATCTGCAAGCTACGCGAAATAAAATAAGACTTACACCAAGAGTACAACGCTGGTGGGCCCTTTATGCAGATGTTTGATTTCGATATAAAATATGTACCTGGTGCAAAAATGGCTCATGTAGAATTTTTTTTTGACACTCAATCCGTTGTCACCAAAGGTAACTAATTAATTGTATCCCAGTCCTGAAAAAAATGTGTTTCGTTGGCCGAAATATCGGACAATCGGTTGCTGGCTGAGCAGCAACAAATTGAAGAAACTTTATCCATTATTTCAAGAATTCAAAATGAAGAACTGGGGGAAGATTTGGCCAAAACATATGAATTACGTTCTAAAATACTTTTCCGCATAATCCAAAGAAATGGTAGGACGCGCAGCCTTCCAGTAGTGCCCAGATGATTTAGGTGGTCGGTAGTATACCACGTCCATGAGGCAATAATTCATCTAGGGTGGGAAAAGACATTGGACAAGATGTATGAGTTCTACTGGTTCGACAATATGTCTAAATATGTCCGAAAATTTGTAAGTAATTGTATCACCTGTAAATTAACAAAACCAGCCTCAGATAAATTACCAATTGAACTTCACCCTATACCAAAAGTAGATATTCCATGGCACACTATTCACATAGATATAACAGGAAATTTAAGTGGCAAAAGGGATCAATCAAACCAGATTGACGCCTTTACTAAATTTGTTTATTTGCACCATACCATTAATATAAGCAGTGAAAGTTGTGTCGAAGCAGTCAAATCGTCAATATCTATTTTTGGCATACCAGCAAAAATCATAGCAGAGCAGGGAAGGAGTTTAACCGGAGCAGTCTTCGGAGACTTTTGTAACATTCAAAAAATACAATTACATTTAATTGCAACGGGAGCCAGCCGTGCAAACGGTCAAGTAGAGCGAGTAATGAGCACCCTGAAAGGTATGCTGACTGCCGTAGAAAGTAGTCAGCGTACTTTGCAGAACGCTTTAGGCGATGTTCCGACATATATATCCAAAGCTTGAGCGACAAAATCCACTTGGGACAGTGAAAATATTCAACAGGTTTCTTGTTACATTCCATTCATTCCGTCAAAGCTTGAGCGACAAAGTCCACTTGGGACAGTGGAAATATTGAATATTGACTGTTCTGGATATATACAATTTATATTTTTTGATATATTGCCTTTGTTCCAAAAAAATTGCCATTCATTTCATTCCATAAATTCCAGGTTTTTACTAACTGCTTATTAAACCAATTTATATCAATATAATTTTGGCATCAAGATCAATACAAGTCCATTGATTTTAATAGAATTTTTTTTCTTATTTACGGCGAATAGGGGCAATTTCCTGATCCTTATTCTAGCATGCCCATAGGGGATAAGAAAAATTTGAAGATAACCCCGCGGGTAAGCTTAGAGCGACCACGATCAGCGTCCCCTCGCGTGTCTCAGGGTAAACAAGAACCCAAAGCGCTGATATCCAACGCAAAAACCGACAGCTCCTTAAACACTACTGTAGTTCCACAGATTAAAGTCACGCGATCCAGCGTAAAGATGGCCCAACGCGACGCAGTTTTAGACAAATTTATTTCGATCTCTGACCGTCTGAGCACATTTGAAGCCAGAATAAACGTTTCAGGGGCTTCAGATCCTTCGGTCCACACGTGCCAAGTTCGACGTGATCAAATCAAGGCATTATGGGACAGGGTAGAGAACGAGTACGAAGTGTGTTCAGACGCAATTCTTGCGGGGGCGGGGGCGGCGCATGCAATGTTAGAACTTCTCCAAGCCAAATATGAGCACTGCTTTGAAGTTTACGAATCCTGTACCGCGAAACTCAGTGAACAAATTGAGCGAGTGAAAACTCAAACGGCCAACGCCAATTCCAACACCCTGCCCATTCCGTTTTCGTCCGGTTGCCGACTACCGCCATGCGATTACTGATTTTTTAAAAAAAAATTTTTTAAAAAAAAAAATTTTTTTTTTTTTTTTTCCCCAGTTTATGTCAACAATCCTAGGTTGACATCGGTCGAAAAACTTTTCCATCTCAACGCCAAAACTAGCGGTGAGGCTAAGGCAATCGTAGCCAAATCCCCTCTTACAAATGAGGGTTTCGATTCAGCATGGGAAGCGCTTCGAGACCGTTTCGAAAATAAGAGACTGCTAGTAAATAGCCAACGCAAACTCCTTTTTAATTTGGGTTCCGTAAATCCCGAATCTGGCCAGGCACTGAAAGACCTACAGAGCACAATCCAAGGGTGTTTGGTAGCGCTGGCTCATTCAAACATTTTCACAGAGAACTGGGACTGTCTCCTGGTATTCCTGTGCGCCAGTAGATTGCCGAAAATGACCCTTTCCTTATGGGAGCAGTCCCTTTCATCCAAATCCGACATTCCGACCTGGGATGAAATGAACACATTTCTTAGCGAACGATACCGAACACTAGAGGCGATTGAGGATATGAAACCCCGCCACAGCAATCACTCTAACGCTAAGAGTCAACCCGTTCCCAGGAAGCTCAACTCCTTCGAAGCCAAGGTAGTTACTAAACCAAAGAATTGCGATCTGTGCTCAAAAGAGAGTCATCCAGTGCGCCTATGCCAGCGTTTTCTCCAGATGTCTGTGGATGCGCGAACAATCTACATCAAAAAAAAGCAGCTTTGCCTAAATTGTTTCGCAAGAGGACACCAGCTACGTGACTGTACTAGCACTCACAGCTGTTTCACATGCCGAGGTCGGCATCATACACTGTTGCATAAAGGCAACCCCATTTCCCGTGGGTCAACTCCCGCAATTAGTTCCTCTGCAAGCCCTCAAAATCCAGCGGTGCAAGGGGCCGCCAACGGTCTAGAAAATCCGCTCAGTGTGCAGAACTATTTCGCAACCGGTGCTAGAGCGGTTTTGCTAGGCACGGCCATTATTGATATATGCCACTTGGGAACGAACTACAGGGCTCGTGCTCTAATAGACTCGGGTTCTGAAGCAACGTTTATTTCGGAACGGCTGTTCAATCTGATTAAGCTGCCATTCCGCCTTATCCAAGCCCAAGTTTCGGGCTTAAATCAAACCGTTTCCGCTCAGGCGACCAGGCTCTGCCATTTTTCTATTGGAGCCCCTAATAAGCCAGGCCCTCAGCTAGAAACCACAGCTTACGCTTTGCCCGAGCTGACTGGAATGCTTCCGCCGTACCCGATTCCACGAGATGCGCTGGTTGATTTACCGGCCATCCCTCTGGCAGATCCAAAATTTTTAGGGAGTTCACAGATAGATGTTCTGATCGGGGCCGACATCTTACCGTTCGTGTTGCTGAGCGGCACGCGCACCATCATTTGCGGCTCTCTGCTAGGACAGGAAACTATCTTCGGCTGGGTGCTTACCGGCCCAGTGTCCAACGCATCAGTCCAAAAGCGGGTAGCAGCTTTCACGACCCAGATAACAGAAACGAGTGACAGGGTCTTAGAAAAACTTCTCACTAAGTTTTGGGAGGTGGAGAATATACCAACAAAGTGGGTAAAGGAATTCGATTCCTATTGCGAGAGCAATTTTCTCCAAACCACCACTAGAGACGCAAGCGGGAAATACGTGGTAACGTTACCGTTTCGCGAACCCGAAAATTTCGGATCCAAATTGGGGCACTCGCGATCCATTGCCCTAGCTCAGCTTCTTAGGAACGAAAACCGTTTGAAAAGAGACTTTCCACTAAAAGAGCAATATGACTCAGTCATTCAAGAGTATTTGGATCTGGGCCACATGAGAGAAGTTCCCCCGTCTTACAATACTCCAAACTATTATCTTCCACACCATGCTGTGATCAAACCCGAGAGCACCACCACCAAACTTCGCGTGGTATTCAATGCTTCTAGCCCTTCAGCAAATGGGACGAGTTTGAACGATATTCTTCATGCTGGTCCAGTCCTACAATCTGATTTCCAGTACGTGTTCAGTGCAGACATTACAAAAATGTACTGTCAAATCTGGGTCGATCCCAAGCACACGCCGATCCAAAGGATTTTATTCCGGAATAAAGAAGGACAAGTAAGCGATTTCGAGCTAAAAACCGTCACCTTTGGTGTCACCGTTTCTGGCACTTCGCGTACTCCAACAATTGGCAGACGACGTAGAAACGGAGTTTCCTAA